CCTCAGACACCAGGGTGTGGTCAGGGTCATCCCACCACCCACAGACACCCCTGACTGGAATTGCAGAGATATATACCACATGCCACCCTGGGCTTCTGAGCAGTTACTCCCTGCTTCCCTAGAGAGTGCTGAAGAATGGAATTGGTAGTTCAGATCCTTTTTTCTTTCTGAAACCCTAAGTGTTTTGTCATCTGTGCTGAAAAAGGGTCATCAGACAAACCTGGCACCTTTTCCAGTGTTTTCCACCACTTAGAATGTAGGAGTAGCTCTGACTCCAGGGTTTTTCCTACTGGGTAGGGACAGTTCTTGCTAAGCCTTGAGTGACCAGAGCCTCTTTCCCATTGTTCTTCTTCTCATTGTAGCGCTGTCACTGACAAAGTGCTGTTTATGTCTTGAAATAATTGCTAATAATAAATGATTCTTAGCATGTAGGTGGTAGGAACTAATCTCTTAGAAAAGCTAGCAAAGGGTGGGCCGTGAGGGACCAAGGTTTTGTCATTCTAGTGGATGGATTGTGTGGACCACATGAGCTGCTCATCTTTTGGGTCATGTGGCCGTTGCCTTGTCACATATGGTCTGTGGCACCTGTCGGCATACACCATCTGTGTCATTTTAAGTGGTACAAACCTAGGTCCTGGTTCCCACTGCCTTGGCCCCTCTCATTCTGATCCTACACCTGGGCCCAGTGACATGGAGACCTGCACAGGCTATGGGTCAGGGTGGGAGGAAGGCGGCAAGGGAGGGACATCCACAGTCCGTCACAGCACGATTCTGTGAAACATGTTCGCAAAGACTGGCTGCTCCCTGGAGAAGCCAGCAAATATTGGTGGGATCAGAAGTGTGTGTTTCCTCAGGCACACGGTGGCCACAGAGACCAAGCATTGTTCATTTGGGGGGGTTCACAGAGACACGGACTGTTCAGTGGGCATCATCCCACATGGCGCCCACGTCCTTGGGGCCCATTCACATTTGCCTGCTCCCCAGCCAGACTGTGTTAGTGCTGCAGTGGAGTTTTGAGTAGCTTCTGCCTCTAGCTCAGCGGGGGCCACCCTGAGACCGAGCAGGGCTAACACACACGCACTCACACACCCATCTCCACAGGATGGCCGACCTCTCCGAGCTCCTGAAGGAGGGGACCAAGGAAGCACATGACCGGGCAGAAAACACCCAGTTTGTTAAGGACTTCCTGAAAGGCAACATCAGGAAGGAGCTGTTTAAGGTGGGTGCCCTTGGTCCTGGATGGGGTCACGTTGGGGGCCTTGGTCCCAGGAGGAGGATCCCCTTGGAGCTGCTGTGAGGTGGCAGCTGGACCTTTTCTCATCTGCTCGCCACTCCATTGATAGCAGACTGCGGTTTCATGTGGCTTAAATAGAATAGCATCGCAGTGATATGCAGGAAGCAGAAGTATCCACGTTCCAAAGAATTCACCATGTCATTTCTTTAAGGAACGTGAAGTTTCTTGGGTGTGAAATGATTCCTTGTATAAACATGGGCTTCTGGGGATCGGGGTGGTGGGAGCAGTGGGCTCATGAGACATGCTCGCTGGGCAAGGCCTGCAGCCCTTTGCCATGGTCTCCCCTTACCCTCAACAGCTGGCCACAACTGCACTTTACTTCACATACTCCGCCCTCGAGGAGGAAATGGAACGCAACAAGGACCACCCAGCCTTTGCCCCCTTGTACTTTCCCACGGAACTACACCGGAAGGAGGCACTGACCAAGGACATGGAGTATTTCTTCGGTGAGGACTGGGAGGAGAAGGTGCGGTGCTCTGAGGCTGCCCAAAAGTATGTGGAGCGGATCCACTACGTGGGGCAGAATGAGCCAGAGCTGCTGGTAGCCCATGCCTATACTCGCTACATGGGGGACCTCTCGGGGGGCCAGGTGCTGAAGAAGGTGGCCCAGCGGGCCCTGAAACTCCCTAGCACGGGAGAAGGGACCCAGTTCTACCTGTTTGAGAACGTGGACAATGCACAACAGTTCAAACAGTTGTACCGGGCCAGGATGAATGCCTTGGACTTGAACCTGAAGACCAAGGAAAGGATTGTGGAGGAGGCCAACAAGGCCTTTGAGTACAACATGCAGGTACTGCTGGGGCTCAGGCTGGAGGGGGGCCTCTGATGGTAAGAGCCAATCCAGAGCTGCCCAAACAGGTTTCAGTGCATTAGGCCAGATGAGCTGTGGGCTGCCAGAAAGTACAGGACCAAATCGGCCAGAGGGCATGAGCCCAGTGATGGCTCCGCTGTTTGACAGGTGCCCTGTGTGCTTACTTTGGGGAGGGTGAGGTCCTAGCACTGAGGGTTCGGAGAGAATGAAGCTGTCTCCTCTCTCACCACAGGATTGTCTTGAGTGGATTTCCTCCTTTTTTAGCAAGGGTTGCTATGAAAAGTCTCACTTGATAAGTTCACAGAACTAAGGAGAGTGAGGAGAACTCTGTTTACAAATGACTGTTAGATGCGGCCAAGCCTGGGGAGGCTGATTCCGTCCTGGGGCCCAGGCCAGCCCTCAGCACCAGGAGAGTGGCCAGGACGGGGAGTGAGGCTCTACCCCGAGTTGCAGGCCTGTCAGATTAGTCTGACATCAGCAAGCCTGCTGGGGCCTCAGTTGTCCCATGTTCCTGTCATTCAGTAAAAATACCTAGCCACTGACAATGGGAAAGTGCCAGCGCTCACAGCGTGTTGTGGGGCAGCGCTTTTGTTCTTGTCCTCATTGTTTCTCCCTGGGAGTTCCAGCTGTGGGCTGTGTTGTCTGGTCAGTGCCCAGGGTGGAGCCACCAGAGTCAGCAGTGGTGAGATGCTGCAGCACAGGTGTGGTCCCACTTCAAGAGCTGTGCCAGGGAGAAGCGTGAGGTCGCTGTGATGGTGCCTGCTGCTCACTAGGGCTGCTGATTTACTGGTTTGCTCTCCTGAGCAAGTCTTGCTGGTTCTAGCTCCTTTTGCTCAGGGGAAGAGAGAGATTTCTGAGAGCAGAGTGTACGCAGTCCAGTGATGGCTGTTCATCCCCTGCTCCTGCAGATATTCGATGAACTGGACCAGGCTGGCTCCTTGTTGGCCAGAGAGATCCTGGAGGACGGAGTCCCAGTGCACGATGGGAAGGGAGACATGCGTAAATGCCCCTACTATGCTGCTAAACCAGACAGAGGTAGGTCTTGCCTGTCCCAAAGTCTCATCCCAGGGTGGGTGTGTCCATGTTCCCCAGTGATGCCATGTCCTCTGTTGGTGCCACCACACAGGTGCCCTGGAGGGCAGCAGCTGCCCCTTCCGAACAGCCCTGGCTGTGCTGAGTCAGCCCAGCCTGCAGTTCATTCTGGCTGCTGGCGTGGCCCTGGTTGCCAGCTTCCTGGCTTGGTACTACATGTGAAGGACCCATCATACCACGTTGGCACCCTCTTCCCAAATGACCACTGGCCTGCCCCTGCCTCCACCGGTGACTGAACTACCACCTCAGGTGACTTTTTTTTTTAAATGCTGGGTTTGAGAAAACAAGCAACCAATAAAAGCCAGACGCTAAAGCCTCTGCCTGTAGCGTCCTCTGTGGGCTTGATGCTGAGCTGGCTGCAGATCCACCATTCCTGCAGCCATGAGGCCTTGGCTCCGGGAGCAGCCAGTGCAACTCAGCAGGCCAGCCTGGGCCTCTGGAACCAGCTCTGCTCCTGGGGCGTCCACACTGCTCACCCTGAGGCTCCTTCCCTCACTCTTCTCCTGTGTTGGCATTTAGGTGGGAACCATTCCTCTGATGGGCATAGTGAAGCCTGCAAGCCCAGGCTGCTGTAGCTCTGTGGGAGGGAGGGAGCCTCTCCTGGGGGAGGAGAAGGGGTGGCTTGCACCGTCCTGAACCAACCAGTCCTCATCCCTCTCAAGCAGAAACCCTGGAGAGGGGGTCTATTTAGCCATGGCCCATCGCCTGCCTCCCTTGACCTGTGTAAATGCTACAGCACTCAATAAAGTGGACTCTGACAGCTGCCTCCCTCTTTTCTGGCGAGAACATTTTCCTTCTTTTCTGGCGAGAACATTTTCCTCCTCAGCTACCCTGCTCTTCTCATGCTCCCGACACCCAGAGCAAAACCACCTCATCACACAAATTTGATGTGATTCTCAGAAGTACTTTGAAGGTTCCCTACTTTTTGAAATTTGTTTATGAATAAGGATTTTTAAAAGTGCATATACTTTTATTATGCAACAATTCAGGGTCTAAAATACAAATGCAAACTTAAATATTTTTATTGATAGGAAGCTGTTTCTTGTTTAATATATTGAGGATCTGCAAAAGTTTTATTCAGAAAAGGGTTAAATGGCAGGGAAAACTTTGTCTTCCTACTGCTGACCCAGCCTACCCATTTTCACAGTTCAGATGAGGATGGGGGTGGAGCTGGCTCAGAACCAGGGGGGCCGACTGGCTGCTTTCAGACCAGAAACCCCAGCCCCAGTGGCTGTGTCTGGCTTAAGGGGGAAAAGGGTATTTGCCTACAGGGTAGGATGACCCAGAGCTCAAGCCAGGGGGACTCCAGCCTGCAGATTGTGTGGGCAGAGACCATGGCATGGAGATGGGTGAAATCAGTGTCAGAGATAGGAAGGTAACCTTATAGTGCAATGAAGTCAACTCCTACCCCAGTCTGGTCCCAGCTAGAACCTGGGGCTGGTCTACACTGGGTTTTGGCGTCACCCCTGGGCAGTCAGTATAGCAGAAGCACGAAGACCCTGAGGACTCAAGCCCCAGCCCCTAGACCACTTCTAGCCCCCCTCCCTTTTTCCCCTCAAAGAAGGAAGCCAGGCAAGAGAGCGAGAGGCCCAGGGCAGGGGAGTGAGAGGGCCAATTTAATGAGAAACTACAAACTGAGACCAGCCATGATTCACAGTGACAGAAGGCCATGCAGTGGCAGTGCGAAACCAGGAGAGGGGTGGCAGCAGGATACAGCGGTCCACATAAGCAAGTTCACAGACAAACCATTCAGTAAATACAGTGTGGGCTCAGGCCCAGGGCAGATGTCCACCAAGGCACGTCCGCCACTTGTGGCTGCTCCTTTCTTGTCCCCAGCCTGTCCCAGTCCAGTGCCTGACAGCTGCTCCTGCTGCAGTACCTGCTGTTGAAACAAGCACAGTGACAGCAAGTCAGCAAGGGCAAAGGGCCCAGCATTTGCTGGGAAGAGGATACATGGAGAGCACACTACAAATCTGTGTGTGCTTGCAAGGAGGCCCCTTCTCTCTGTCCTCTCCAGTCCTATTTGGGACACACCGGCCACTGGGCAAGGTCTTGCCGACGCCCAGTAGGTACAGCAAGGACATGGTACAGACAGATGGGCTAGGCTCCTGGGCACTCCTCCTGGCCCTAGCCAAGATGGGGGTTTGTAGAGGGCAGGCCAGAAAGGGAGCTGGGCAGGGGGTGCCAGAGGCAAGTCTCTTCTTGGCGAGCCAGGGCCTCAGCACCCAGCCCATGATCTGCAGGTGTGCTGATCGCTCTACCTTACCCAGGGGACTCCCAGGCCCTTGGATAGAGTGTTGAGAGTTCTAGAGTTCTGAGGGCCAGAGTCATTCCTTCTAATCATCATACCCACCTCTAGCACCCCAGAAATAAAGCCAGGCCTGAGGACCCTGTCCTGCTTTGGTCCATTTTCCCACTTTTGGCCCAGCAGATGAGAAATCACTGTGGCTACAGGTACAGCCCCACTGCAGGCCCCAGGTCTGCTCTGACTGCTTCTGGTCCCAGGGACAGTTAGGACCAAATCTATGCTCCGTCCAGAAATGGAGTGAGGAGACCCTTCCCAGCTTCTCGTCCTGATCACAAACATCAAGCAAACCAGCAACACACAGGCTCTGTGCTATCCCCCTGCCACCTGCTGACCCTTGGCCTTAAATCCAACAGAATTTTTGCCAGAAGAGTCCGATGCTCAGGGAAGGGCAAGCCAAAGAGGACAAGACTTCCAGGGGACTGGTGGGACGGCTTCCACCCCCAAGTGGGAGCAGGGAAGCAAGCCACTGAGCAAGGGGAGCAAAAGCACAGGGGGCCAGACTGACAGCAGGGAGTCCAGTCCTGGCTCCGTTAGCACAGGCGCTTGTACGTGTAGATGTAGGCTTTGCAGCTGGGGCATGTGTGCGTCACATCCTTGAAGTCGTTGATGAGACAAGGGATCAAGCAGCAGCCCAGGTCACACCTGAATCGGAGACAGAGAGATTGGCTGAGAGGGCACTGGGGGCACATAGGCCTACCCCAGCTCAGTGGCAGGTGGGCACGGCCCCACCCCAAGCACCCGTACCACCTACCCCATGAAGCAGCAGAAGAAGCCCAGCACAAAATTCATCAGCCCGATCTCATAGGAGATCTTGGTGGTGATGGCCTGCTGGCAGTGGGGACACACCGTCTGTACAGGGGCGCCCTCAAAGATCTCTCCTTGTAGTACTGTCACCGTGGTGGCAGCCCCTGAAGGAACCAGGACTGTGGCAGTATGGCCCCCAGGGCCAGGGTACGGCCCCGGTGGGTAGGGCCCTGGTGGATAGTAGCCCATGGGTGGGTGGGGGCCTGGAGGAGGGTAGAAACCTGGAAGAGCAGAGAAGACAGTGAAGACAAGTTACTGGCTTACCACTTGCCCCATAGGCCTGAGGCCCCCCCCAACCCCAGGGGAGGCCTCATGAGGGGGGCCTCTGGGAGCAGGCCCTGGGCCAGGTGATGATGTACATACTCCCAGCCCTTCCTGCTCCCCACCCTGTGAGGACCAAGACTGAGAAGCTACTTGGCCCAGCGAGACACAGCAGAGCTGAGAAGGCTGCCGCCTCTCTCTTTGGTCTCAGCTGGGTATGTTTGCTCCTTGCCTCTGATACGCAGGGGACCAGGCACTGTGTTCCAACAAGGACCTCAACCACAGGATGGACAGCCTTGCCTCTCGGCAGCCCAGCCCTCCTTGTGCACTCAGGGCTTTCGGACCCACCAGTGTCACCAGATCCTGCACTGAAATACCAGGAACTGGCCCACTTCATGTGGGGTCACCTGTGCGAGAGCCCTGGGCCTTTATCTGGCCTGAGAAGTCCTGAAGAACTGGGTGAGCAGGAGCCCAGCCCCCCCCCCCACCATGGACTCAGGATCCTGGCAGGGAGAGGCCCCCTTATCAGCCATGAGTCAGCACCTGCCACTGGGCCTGAGGGGCTTTCCCAGGAGCTAGCCCCCCTCCCAGTAAGGCCCACAGCTCATGTGCTCGCTCACGGTGCCTGCACAGCACTGCTTGGCTCTAGGACACCTTCCCATGTCCCCCGTCCACACCCAGTCAGTCCCCACCCCTGAGAGAACCCTGTGCAGGAAGACCACCGGCACACGGTGAAGGCTGGATGGCAGCCCAGGGAATGTGCTGGGTGTTAGGCAGACAGACCCGTGAGCCCCCCTTCCTACTTACCTGGAGACATGTAGGTGCCATCTGCATTCACATGGGGGGGGATGAAGCCGGGCTGAGGCATTGGGTGACCCGGTGGCTCATAGGGTGGGGGGCCAATGTCTGCAGGGGGCATGGACATGCCCGGAGGGGGCTGCATCACAGCTGGCGAGGTGCGGCCTGGACAGAGAAGGCAGGGAAAGGGAGCTCAGAGGGCAGTGGCTGCAGGGCTGGGGGAGGGCTGCCCCAGGTGCCGGCTTCTATGAGCTGGACAGGCAAGCCACAAGGGACAGGACCATCAGGAACACCGAACCCTACCTGGGGGAGGGGGGGCTCCGCTCTTCTCCTCCAGAAGTGGGGCTGTGGGGCCTCCAGGATATGGAGGGGGTGGCTCATTGGACATCTTTGCTGCTTCTGGACCTGGAAGGAAAGCCAGGACATGAACTAAGCTCCCAGCCCTGCGTGCCGATCAGGCTCGGGTCTGTGACTGTCCTCCCCGCACGCAGCCTCCTGTGGCTCCTCCCGTACGTGTACCAACCCGCCCTCGCAGCAGCTCAGGTGGCCTTTTACACCTCCACATCAGTCTCTGCGCTCTGGAGGGGCAGGGGGGTCGAGGACAGGGATGGATTCCTTCAGCAGAGTGGGCTCCATCTATGCCCTGGAGATGTCCCACCATCCCCGAGGATAACCAGGCCCAGAGCCGCCACCGTCCACCATCACCCGCGCTTCCCATGTCAAAGGCAGGAGGCAAGGGTGCCCTGCGAGGACAGAAGTGGGTGAGGCGGACCCTCCCCCCAGGGCAGCTGGCCGCCTCCGTGCCAGAGCACCATAGCTTGCTCGTGGGAGAGGGACTGGGAGACTCTTTACCTCAAATCCCAGGTGCTCAGAAGGGGGAGGCTCCTTCCACGGCTGGCCTGGGTGGACACACAGGGCTCTGGGGAGCTGTTCTGGGGGAGAACGACAGGCAGAGGCTCAGCAGCAGGGCAACAGCCGCAGCCACACTCCCTACCCCGTGTGGCTGTTCCCCCACCGGCACGGTGGCAATCCTCAGCTCCCCCTCCTCTCACGGCCACGGCTGAGTCCTGTCTGCACCACGCTCCTACCAGCCCTCACAGCCCGCCCGGACTGCAGAAAGAAAGAACGGGCTTCTCCCCAGCCAGCTGTGCACATGGGGCCTCTGCCCTGGTTTTTGTGGAGCTAGGGTGGGAAGGAAGATGCAGACTGAACCCCCTCCCTCACCTCTCTCCCAAGGCTCCCTGAGCACCTGCCACTGGGTCCTGGGGGAGGAGGAAACCAGAGGCCCTTCCTGCTCTGGATCAGCATCCTGTCTCCTATAGCAAGGCACTTCCTCTTACTCTATTCAGCATAAAAGGTTAGAAATTAGTAGCATTTTGAAGTAAAGTTTGATTATTTTTTAAAAAATAATATGAATTAGGTGATCCCTGGGTGGCTCAGCGGTTTAGCGCCTGCCTTTGGCCCAGGGTGCGATCCTGGAATCCCAGGATCAAGTCCCACGTCGGGCTCCCTGCATGGAGCCTGCTTCTCCCTTCTCCTGTGTCTTTGCCCCCGCCCCCCGCCTCTCTGTAACATAAATAAATAAATCTTAAAAAAAAATATGAGCTAGAAAGAATTCTCAGCGTTACAGAGAAACACACAGTGATAGCAGCTCTACTAGCCTGAGAGCCCACCAGCGTGAAGTTCAGAACCCTACCAGGGCAAAAGGAACGTGGAGTCAGTACAAATGTCACTGATCAGGGGCACCTGGGGGCTCAACAGGTTGAGCATCTGCCTTCAGCTCAGGTCAGAATCCCAGAATCCTGGTGATTAAATCCCACCTTGGCCTCCCTGCTCAGCTGGGGGCCTGCTTCTCCCTCTCCCTGCAGCTCCCCCTACTTGTGAGCACTCTGTCAAATAAATAAAATCTTAAAAAAAAAAAAGGCACAGATCAGTGGCAGGGCCCAAGAGACCAAGTCCAAGCAACATAAACTGGATGTCAGTAAAATTAAAACCTTGGGCTTCAAGGAGCACCAACAAGTAAGTGGAAAGACGGCTCACAGAACAGAAAATTTTTATAGATCTGCTGAAAAACTTGTATTTAAAATATCTACATAAAGAACTCTTAACTCATTAACAAAAAGACAACCCGAGGGGATCCCTGGGTGGCGCAGCGGTTTGGCGCCTGCCTTTGGCCCAGGGCGCGATCCTGGAGACCCGGGATCGAATCCCACATCGGGCTCCCGGTGCATGGAGCCTGCTTCTCCCTCTCCCTCTGCCCCTCTCTCTCTCTCTCTCTCTGTGACTATCATAAATAAATAAAAATTAAAAAAAAAACAAACAAACAAAAAAAAAAAGACAACCCGATTAAAAAATATCAAAAGCGGGCAGCCCCGGTGGCGCAGCGGTTTGGCGCCGCCTGCAGCCTGGGGTGTGATCCTGGAGACCTGGGATCGAGTCCCACGTCGGGCTCCCTGCATGGGGCCTGCTTCTCCCTCTGCCTGTGTCTCTGCCTCTCTCTCTGTGTCTATGAATGAATAAATAAAATCTTTAAAAAAAAATATCAAAAGCTCTGAATACACATTTCTCCAAAGATAAAAACAAATGCCCAATAAGCACATAAAAAGAAGCTAAACATTTAACCAAAAGGAAATGCGAACCAAAACCACAATGATGGGATCCCTGCGTGGCTCAGCGGTTGAGCGCCTGCCTTCAGCCCAGGGCGTGATCCTGGAGTCCCGGGATCGAGTCCCGCATCGGGCTCCCTGCATGGAGCCTACTTCTCCCTCTCCCTGTGTCTCTGCCTCTCTCTCCCTCTCTGTGTCTCATGAATAAATAAATAAAATCTTAAAAAAAAAACCACACACAGGTACATTTGGCATCCACTAGAATGGCTAGTGAGTAAAACATATTAGGCAGAGGAGAGGGCCACACACAGCTACCATGGGACCCAGTCATTCCACTCCTACCTGTGCACCCACAAGAACTGAAAACAACTGAAAACCACACAAGATCCTGTCCGTGAATGTTCACAGCAGCATCATTCATGATAGTCCAGAAGCGTCAACAACTGAGATGTCCCACCACTGATAAAGGGATGAACCGCAGATGTAGGCCTGCAGTGGAGACGTTCCCCGCCACGACCGGGAACGAGCCTGCTGCAGCCTGGATAGACCCGGAAAAACACGACCGTGAGTGACAGAGACCGGACATAATAGGTTCCCTACGTGCGAGTCCTTACACGGCGCCCAGAGCAGACAAAGCCGGAGACAGCATACTCGAGGTTGTTATGTGGGCTTGGGGGCGGGGGGGAGCGGGCGGACAGAGGGACAAACACGGTTTCCTTTCGGGATGATGAAAATGAGCCAAAACTGGCTGTAATGATGGTAGCATAATTCTGTGAATATATTAAAAACCAGTGAATTGCATACTACTTTAAATGGGAAAATCATATGGTAGGTGGATTATATGTCAAAACTCATTAAAAAACAACAAAGTTGCCCAATCTCCCCACCTTAATGCAGCCACTCTCCCTGCACGTCCCTGCCAGTCTGCGTGCAGCCCTTTGTATTTTTATGTGACAGTTTTAACGTGGTGTCCTATATATTCTGTCCATCTTGCAAGACCCCATGACCATCAATTTTAATATTCCCTGAAATGGGCCCATCACCGTTTACCTGACCACCCTTATTAAGGCATTTGGAATGCTTGTTGTTACTTTCATAACAAACAGGGAAAACCTCTGGCTAATGCTCTTTCCCTTTCTTGGATTATTTCCTTTGGTTAAAATTGCCAGAAGTGAAAAGATTAGGTCAAAGATGTATGGCCATTTGTGCCTTTGGGGAGGATGACCGCAATTTACTTGGTACAAAACTATTGATATCACTAATTTGTAACATTAAAATGACACTTGGTTACCTATTGCTTCGACCACCATGAAGTGGAACTACTTCCCAAGTGCTTCTATATTATGACCTGCTCTTCTGAGTTGCTACTTATAATATCCTTCAAAGACCTGAAAGCCAAGAAAAGATGGGATTTACCCAGGTCACGTGGCACATAAAAGGTAGAGCTGAGTCTAGGACTCCAACGTGACACTCCCACCCACCTTTGCCTGCCGGTGAATTTAAATAGTGCACGGGCGGGACACCTGAGTGGCTCAATGGTTGGGCGTTTGCCTTTGGCTCAGGGCGTGACCCTGGGGTCCCAGGATCGAGTCCCGCGTCAGGCTTCCTGCATGGAGCCTGCTTCTCCCTCTGCCTGTGTCTCTGCCTCTCTGTGTCTCTCATGAATAAATAAAATGTTTAAAAAAATAAAAAATAAAAAAACAGTGCACGGGAAAGAAAGGGAAGCCACAGAGCCTCTAAAGGACATCACACAAAGTCCCCTTCCAGGCAGGCCTGGCTGTGTGTGCTGGGCCTGGAGATCCTGGGCAGCCCGCCAGGCGCCCTCCTGGTGGCAGAAAGAGACAGCTTTCCTCAAGAGGCTTGTCCTGCAGCCCACCGAAGTCTTAGAACATGCATGGGCCAGCACCTGCCACTGATCCCACCCTACAAGCCTCTGGGATGCCGCCGGGGTGGCCCCACTGTCTGTCTGGTAGTCCCAGCTCACCAGGGATCTGGCCACAAAAGGTGCACTGCGCTTGGTGAGTCACTGGAGCATTTTCTGGGGCGAGGAGAGCCGAACTAGTCGGGGTCCTCCAGGACCCTGTGTCCAGAGGGGACACAGCACTAGCGCCACCCTCTGAGGACACAAGCATGGCCTGTTTCTTCAACATCACAGCTAGTTCCTCTGTTTCCATCACATCCAGATTCCACTGGAGTTCTGGCATCATAATGACAGGACAAGCCTGGCACCCACCCGACTCCGGGCCGTCCTCTACCCACTGCTGCCTGCCACAGGGCCGCTTCCGCTCAGCCTCGGCTGTACCACCACCTGTTTCCACACCCAATCTCGGGCGGTCTCCCCCTGCCCTCCACCTCGTGCCCATCCTCCAGCTGCCTTCTGGAGCCAGGGACTGTGGCAGAGGCTGGGGGCAGGACCCACCAGTATGAAGGAGAGTTTCTGAAGAATGGATTGGGAACTTTTTTTTTTTTTTTAAGATTTTATTTATTTATCCATGAGAGACACAGGCAGAAGGAGAAGCAGGCCCCCTGCAGGGAGCCTGACATGGGACTCAATCCTGGGACTCCAGGATCAGTCCCTGGGCTGAAGGTGGCGATAAACCACTGAGCCACTGGGGCTGTCATTGGGAATTTTACAGGGATTCAATTCCCAACTCCCCCAGTGCCTCCCAATAAATATAAAACTACAATGTTTCATATTTATGTTGGTGCCTGCCACAAAACTACATTGTCTAAGGTGCGATACAAACTGTAAGAATGCTATGATCTTTAAAAAAAGATCACATGGGAACGCCTGGGTGGCTCAGCAGTTGGGTGTCTGCCTTTGGCTCAGGTCGTGATCCCCGGATCCAGGACAGAGTCCCGCATTGGGCTCCATGCGAGGAGCCTGCTTCTCCCTCTGCCTGTGTGTCTCTCATGGATAAATAAATAAAATCTTAAAAAAAAAGATCACATGTCCAAAAACAAAGCAGTTTTCCTATTTTTTAAAAAGATTTTATTTATTCATGAGAGACGCAGAGGGAGAAGCAGCCTGGGACTCCAGGATCAGGCCCTGGGCTGAAGGTGGCGCTAAACTGCTGCCACCCGGGCTGCCCACAAAACAGTTTTCCAATAAAAATGCACCCCGCTCAAATGACACTACAAATGCAACCGTGGAATCTGAGCTTGCCCCCTGGCAACACTGCCGCGCTGGCTGGAGCATCACTGATAGAAGCTACGGGAGGGGCTGCAAGCCCCAAGCCTCTGAGGGATGCAGCTCCCCACAGAAAAGGGGGCCCGCGGTTCTGGGAACTGGGTGAAGTCCGCGTGCAGCCCCAGAAACCCAACAC